TTGTCATTCATATCGTCCACTGCATTGCAATCTTCTAGGCACTGAAAGCAGTTACGTAACTCGAGCTGAAAAGTCTCGGGATTCTGGATCAGAGCACGAGGGAGACGGAGCGTTTACTTCATTAGACGAGACCTCTCCAACTTAACGTTAAGGTTCAGTGTGCCTCTAACCATTCGGTGATCGCTGCCGGCGTCTGGTCGTCATAATGAAGTCAATCTCATTTTTTGTCGAACCGTCGGAGCTCGACCAGGTCCACTTCCTGTGGGGCCGCTTCTGGAAGAAAGATCATTCATCATAAAGAGTCCCTCTTTCTCCATAAGGTCAGCCAGCTGCTGGCCCCTACGGTTCCGTTGCTCTACTCCAAATTTTCCTAACTTCAGCTCACCGCCTTCTCTTGTGCCTAGTTTTGCGTTGAAGTCTCCCATCAACACTGTGTAGTGGGTTTTGGAGGAATGCATGGCTCTAGAAATATCCTCATACATTACCTCCACCTCCTCATCGGGATGTGCCGAGGTTGGTGCTTAGACCTGTATGACCTGCAGCGAATACCGTTTGGTGATTCTAAGTATCAGGTACGCGACCCTCGTCGACACACTCCCAATCTTTACAACGTTGTTACAACGTTGACGAGAGACTTGTGGACGATAAATCCGACACCTCCTTGGGACAGATGGTGGCCCTCCCGGTGATAGAACAAGTTGCCGGACTCGAGGATTACCGTGTCCTCCCCTCTCTTCGGACCTCAGATAATCCAATAATATCCCAGCGCAACTTGTCTACCTCTTCTTCCAGCTCCAGTATCTTCTCGTCAGTCCTCAGGGTGCGTGTGTTATACGTTGCCAGGTCGAGTCGTCGTAGGTGGCAACCGAACCTCCACCGGAGATTCTTAGCACCCCCTACAAACTATAGTTATTGCCAAATACGCATACCTATTGGTGAAAGAAAAGGAATACTTGCCAGTCCCGAGAGCCTGTAAACAAATTGCTTTGGATAACCAATTCCTGTACAATAACGACGATGTGCTGCATACAGAACAAAGCTGCATGAAACAGCTCATGGAGTTTCAAGGAAACCTCGATGCCTGTGAACAGCATACTGTGGATATAGAAGATCCCAAAATCCAACGATAAGCCACGAAAGCTGGATACTATACGTGAGAAGCCATAGGATACTTACCAGAAAGTGCGACAATGACGTCACTCATGAACTGTTATGTGGTACTTACATAATTACCGTAGACGATTTCTGTGAAGGCGAAATTGGAAATATTCATTTTAAATACCACCAATCTTCTTCAGATGACCTAAATTACCAAATTTACCCAATGACTAACTTACCAGAACTGAAGATTTCGAAGCCTCCCATTGTCAGTGAAGTGAGTTTAAAAGGTATAAATTCTAGATGAAACTAAACAATTGGTTCAACTAGTAAAATTTAACAAAATAAGTCTCAGTGAAAATGCAAGTGCTATTAAAGTTAAAAGTGTGAGTTTAGGAACGATAATTTTGTATGTAATTCTACCAATTATTTTCTGTATTGTAATTATAATTACGATAAAAAATGTGTGTAATTAAGCGAAATCATCGGATTCCTGAAAATGCCGATAATTTCGCTCTTGAGGAGGGAAGAGTCATGGATTCGACCCCACACAGAGTGATACAAGTACGTGCATAAAAGCTATTGCTGTTTTGCACCCTGTATGTGGCCTATATCGCGTCACTTGAGTAAGCAAATGTAACAACGTCTGCATCGACGTCATGTACCCGGCACTAGCGCCATGTAGTGTCGGGGACGAGAGCGAGGAGGGCTTCCTAGAAAATGTCAATCTTGACTTTCAACCAACAGCGCCATCTAGTATCGAACAGAAGAATTAAGCTTTCTGGAAGCCCCACACTCGAACTTTCTGCGCCTGGTCGGTTGGCGCGCGTATTTACTTGAATATTCTGGACCTTTCGACGAAAAATGTGTATTTAAAGGCACTGCAAGACGCGGTCGGGGCAGTATTGAATTTGGCGAGACAAGCGAAGCTTCGGAGCGAAATAAAGTGAATCAGTGTGGTTAATTAATAGTGTTTTAAGGTTTAATTGGTGTTAGGCAATAAAAGTGTAAATTTTGCTCGTAACAATTGGTGTCAGAAGTGGGATAAAATCATGGCGATTTTACCTAAGGAGGAAACGGAGGGTGTCCGTACCCGAAGTCGGAGGAGACGAACCAAAGAAGATTTAGTGGTGCAACGCCGTAGACGTCGGAAGGCTAGCCACCGGCTGCAGGCCCGTGTATTAAATAAATCCTAAATAATCCTAATCCTCCTAACGTAAAAATGCACCACCCGACTTAGGTGCTCTGATGGTGATGCTGCAGGAACAGGCTCTCCGACAGGAGGAACAGGCCCGCCCACAGGAGGAGCAGGTCCGTCGGTTGGAAGATCAGCTGCGGGGCGGACAGGATGAACAGGCCCGCCGACAAGAGGAACAGACCCGTCGGTTGGAAGAGCAGATGCTCCTCATGAAGGACCTTCACGCTACCTTCGCAAAAGAGATACGGGAGGTGAAGGATAAGGTTGCTCAACATAACAATCGCCTGTCGGAAGCTGAAACCCGAATCGACCAAGTAAACAATCGGGTTGACAACGTAATGGCTGACATGAAGGAATCACTGGACGAACTCAAACTTGGAGATTGAACAATAGCTCCCGTAGTAGCTACAACACCTTCGCTACGTGGGTTCAAGGTGCCACCGTTCGACGGGACTTCTTCGTGGTCAGCCTACAAAATCTAGTTCGAGGCTGTTATGAAGGTGAACGCCTGGAATAAAAGACAGGCCATGACTGCTCTCACACTAGGCCTGCGCGACCAGGCCTTAACAGTTCTGGAAGCTCTCGGTGAGGAAGTGACTTATGGGCAACTCCTTGAGGCTTTCAAGGCGAGATATGGCGATGCTCACCTGGAACACGTCTATCGTGCGCAGCTTAAAGATCGCGTGCAGCGCATCAACGAAAACCTGCAGCAGTGGGCTCTAGAGGTGGAGAAGCTGGTGCGAAAAGCATACCGGTCTGTACCTGCGCTCATTTAAGGGAACCTGGTGCAGACATTCATCGACGGCATCCGCGACTTGGAAGTCAAAGCTGCTGTGAGGCACGGGCACCACGAGACGCTTAAGGACCATGCACTGGAGGTGGAAGCCGTGCGGTTCCCATCGCGTCAGGGAGGTTGCAGCAGCTACAGTTCGCGACCGCAACAAAGGATACAGCCCTAGGTGCTATGGCTGTGGGGAAAGGGGCCATCTTCGATCCAGCTGCCCTAAGCGAACCCTAGAAAGGGAAGGTGAACGATCTCAGAAGGGAAGTGCGGCTAACATCACCGCCCAGCAGCAGCCGGAATACGACTTTACTATCAGACATCACAGCGGGAAATCTCATGGCAACGCAGATGCATTGTCAAGAAGGCCTTGTCCTGAAGATTGCAAACATTGTACTAGACAAGAGAGTAAGGAAGTGGTATCCGTGAGGATGCTCAGGACAGATAACCTCAGCAACGAGTGGAAGGACAGCTTACACCATGCACAGCAGGAAGATCCGAAAATCAAGCCGATTCTGGAATGGATGAAGGCCCGTGCTACCAAGCCTAAGTGGAGCGACGTCTCAGCAATGACTTCGACCACTAGAAGCTATTGGGCCCAATGGGACAGCTTGCTGAGTCAGGATGGAGTCCTGTGTCGTAAATGGGACAATGGTCGAGCTGTCGTTTGCAAATGGTTGTCCCTAAAGCTAAAGTGCCGAATGTTCTACAGCTGCACCATAATGGTTGTTCAGGAATCCATCTGGGAGTTAAACACGAACTCTACTGAAGATCCGAGAACAGTTTTACTGGGTCCATTATCGTAACGATGTCGAGGATTGGTGTCGCACATGTACAAGTTGTGCGTCTGTGAGGGGACCTCAGACACCTAGTAGAGGAGCATCAAAATTGTACAATGTTGGTGCACCATGGGATAGGACAGCCCTTGACATTGTGGAGCCGTTACAGAAAGGCGCAAGAGGGACTACTAAGATCGTCCATGTGGATCGCCTGGCGCGTTATTAGTGGGCCGATAATGCTCGGGACGAGCATGTCTTAGGAGGGGGCAATGTTGCGCGCCTAAGTTGACGTCATGTACCAGGCACTAGCGCCATCTAGTGTCCGGGCCAAGGGCGAGGAGGGCTTCCTAGAAAATTTCAATCTTGACTTTCAGCCAACAGCGCCATCTAGTATCGAACGATTTTTGTTGGCTTTAACTCATTTTCGAACACCCAAACTCGCGATTGGTTTTTGTTTCGGGTTCGTACGCGTATATCCAGGATTCGTCACCTGATACGGTGTTGTATACAGCATTTGATGATCCTACGTGGAATCTTTCGAGAGCTCTGACGCACCAAGTAACGCGAGCCGCTTTTTGTTCCTCACAGAGCGAAAGCGGTATCCATCGGGAAAACAACTTTTTTTACACCTAATTGTTCATGCAAGATTATTTGTATTTGACTCATGCCAATGTCTAAAGTTGCCTGAATTTCGCGGTATGTCACATGTCGATCTTCCTCAATCAGCTTACGCACAGCATCAACGTTTTTTTGGGTGACTGCAGTTTTTGGACGACCTTGACGGGGATCATCACTGAGCTTGACACGTCCACGTTGAAATTCAGCAAACCAGCGATAAATTGTGGTTGTGGATGGAGCTTCATCACCAAATGTAGAAATTATCCGGTCATTACACTGTTTTTTGTTAAACCACTTCGAAAGTCATAATAAATCATCGCTCTTGAATTTTTTTCGACTCAATTCCATTTTCTCAACGACTAAACAAGTTTGACAGTACCTTGTGACAAGACCGAGAATCTTTTTTTTAAATAAATAAATGGTATTCGATTTTTTAAAACCAAGGAGTTTTCAATTAAAAAGATTTTAATATGACAGGAACAGTGGAAATATTCCATTCCCGATACTTTTAGTGCAGCCTAGTAATATGCAATTTCAACCACGATTTGAATTTGGAATACCACCAAGCAAGCAAATTAAATTGCCAACACAGCAACCCCAACAATTTGGAATTAAACCACAGCCCCCTCAACAACCCACAGGATATAAGCCGCAATTAGGTGTAGCACCACAGTTGGGATATAGACCAAACTTTTACCAAGGTCACCAACCAACTGGTTATAGACCACCACCTCATTTACAACGACCACAATTTCAATCGACCGATGTAAGCATGCGTACAGCCCCACCTGTGGAACCTCGAGGTTTTCGTATGAACGAGTTATACGTGCTTAACGAAAACTGTGACAACACTTATGGTGACACCCCTTATCATGACGTAGATCACATGCAAACGGAAGATGAAATTAATTATTGCAAGAACCCTGCAATACTCGAATATAACGAACCAGAATTACCACAAGAAATCAAAAATTTTCAAATAGAAGCCTCGAATCAATCCCGGAGATAATACACATAAATTGTAACCCTAAATTAAAATTACCATACATAAAATTAATGCTAAAGTTTATGATCGATACCGGGAGTTCTAGATCTTTCATAAGCCCTTCTAAAACCAACGATTATTTTGCAAATTTTAAACGTTACGAACTATTTGAAGTTATCAGTACACACGCATCTAGTTTACACGATGAAGTAATAATTATACCCCTATTTCCGACTTTCAATAGTGATCAGACGCATAAGTTTTATGTGTACGATGTAGACGGCCGTTCTGACGGACTTATCGGAAGCTATCTCCTTAAACAATTAGATTCCAAAATAGATATGAAAACCCACATATTAAAGACAAATTCCGCAAATATACCCATAATTTATAATCCGACTAACGAAATTAAATTAGCTTAGTGTTGCGAACAGAGATTACCAACCAATTTATTGCATGGGAAGCTATATTAAATTACACCAAATTTTGTGATGGCGTTAGAATGCCCAGTGCTCTTGTTAAATGCGAGAACGGTTACGCGACAACAGTAATACAAAACACTTTAGACAAAGAAACGACATTAGTTGTAACTAAACCTTTTAATGTGACTACACATAACAACGTAAAAGTCGAAGTTAATAATTTGCAAAACAGGAACGATATCGAAGTAGACAAAATTTTAAATGAAAATCTAAATAAATTACGATTAGACCGCATGAACCAAGAAGAACGAAATAGTATTCGTACACTTTGCTTACAGTATAGGAACATATTTAACTCAGAACAATTACCACTTACTTTTACAAACTTTTACAAATGAAGCATCAAATTAGAACTCATAATGAAGACCCAATTTTTATCCGACCCTATAGACAGCCACAAGTTATAAACGACGAAATAAATAAACAAGTAGAAAAAATGTTGGAAAACGATATAATTAGACAATCCTTTTCACCCTGAAGTGCACCAGTGCACCTGGTTCCGAAAAAGACCGATGCAAGTAACGAAAAGAAATATAGATTAGTTAGTGACTACAGGCGACTTAACGAAATTACAATAGACGACAAATACCCCTTGCCTAACATAACCGACTTGTTTGACAAATTAGGACGTAGTTATTATTTTACCACACTTGACTTAGCTAGCGGTTATCATCAGATAGAAGTATCTGAGAAAGATAGACAGAAAATAGCTTTCAGTACCCAGTCAGGACACTATGAAATAGAAATAGAAATAGAAATAGAAACTTTTTTATTCAATGTAGATTATAAAAATACTTATTGAAAGTCACTTTTTTAATTTACCACTGGTTCGCAAAAAAACCTCTGTCCTGGGAAGAACCAGCAAGAAACCCAGCGGGACTATTTTTTTTAATAATAGCTTACAATCATGTTTACAATCAACAACACAAGTCAAATTAGAAATAGCTTGGTAGCGATCACCCTTCCCAGGGGTTATTATCATCTATAAATTCCTTAATATTATAATAACCCTTTTTTATACAAACTTATTTTAATAACATTTTTGAACTTTGTGTATGACAAATTTTGTATATTTTCTGGGATTTTGTTGTAAAAGCGTATACATCGCCCCAAGAATGAATTACTGACTCGGTGGAGTCGAGTAACTGGTACTACCAGCTTGTGTCTGCTCCTAGTATTTACAGAATGAATATCACTTATTTTCGCAAAACTACTTTTATTTTTGTGTACGTACATTACATTTTCATAAATGTATTGAGAGGCCAGAGTTAATATATTAATTTCCTTAAATTTTTGTCTCAGTGACTCTTTTGGTTTTAAATTATATATTGCTCTAATTGCCCTCTTCTGTAAAATAAATATAATTTCAGTGTCAGTCGCGTGTCCCCATAGCAAAATACCATACGACATAATGCTATGGAAATAACTGAAGTAAACTATTCTAGCTGTTTCAACACTGGTAAGAGTTCTAATCTTTTTTACAGCATATGCTGCAGAACTAAGTCTGCTAGCTAGTTTTGATATATGGGGGGAGCCATTGAAGCTTTGCGTCCAGTGTGATTCCAAGAAAAATGGTGGTATCAACAAGACTCAGTTCCTCCCCATTTAAAATTATATTAGTATTGACATGTTTAACATTAGGAGTTACGAATTTCATACATTTAGTTTTAGTTCCATTCAAATGCAAATTATTAACATTAAACCAATTAACTAACTTAGCTATAGCATTATTTACTTCGTCGTAATTTAATAACTGCCGTTTTAATTTGAAAATTAATGAAGTATCATCAGCAAATAATACTATATCGTGGTTATCCCCTACTATGTAAAGTAAGTCATTGATATATACAAGAAACAGAAAGGGGCCGAGAATTGAGCCCTGAGGCACGCCCATTTGTACAATCGACCCGGAAGAACTCATACTATTAATAACAACTTTTTGTGTTCTGTCACTTAATGTCACTTATGAGTTCACACGTATGCCTTTCGGCCTAAAGACAACTCCAGCAACCTTTCAGAGATCCATGGACAATATCTTACGGGGTCTGCAAGGTTTACACTGCCTAGTGTACCTAGACGACATAATAATTTACTTCACAAGTTTACAGGAATACATAGACAAATTACGAACCGTATTTGACAGACTACGACAGACAAACCTAAAAGTTCAGCTAGACAAATTAGAATTTCTGAAGACGGAAGTATTGTACCTAGGACATACGATTACTTGCGACGGAATGAAACCTAATAATGAAAATATTAAGGCCGTTTTAAATTATCCCTTACTAAAGACCACAACCGAGATTAAAAGCTTCCTCGGCTTGGTAGGCTATTACCGAGTTTTATAAAAGATTTCGCTAAAGTAACTCAACCCATGACAGCAAGCTTGGAAAAGAAACGTTCGATGCCTATTGACGACAGTAAATATGTAGAATCCTTTCAAAAATGTAAAGAACTTCTGACAAATGCCCCTATATTGCAATACCCTGACTTTAAAATGCCATCTATATTAACTACATATGCTTCAGAATTTGCTTTAGGTGCTGTCCTTTCACAAGGATCTATAGGACAAGACAAACCCATTGTTTATGCTAATCGAATCCTTAACGACACCGAAACACGTTACAGTGTAACCAAAAAGCAACTGCTAGCAATAGTTTGGGTTATCAAACACTTCCGTCCATATCTTTATGGCAAAAAGTTAACGATAATCACCGATCATAAACCTCTTGCCTGGTTAAACTCTCTTAAAGAAACAAATAGGCGACTGACTAGATGGCGCTTACGGCCATAGATAAATAAATACGTAGCAAGCTACTTACGACTAGCCGAATATGATTTTAGTTTTGTTCATAAAAGTGGTAAGCAGAACTCCAACGCAGACGCTCTGTCGCGAATTAGAATTAATGCCATAGATAAAAGGGAAATTTCATCCACTCATGCAAATGTAGATAAAGACGAAGACGAAGACAGAAATCAGGAAATTCAGAACTTAATAAAAGACATTAAAGAATTAGACAAATTACAAAAAAAGACATTTAGGCAACCACCTCCGGAATCAATGTCAATTCCAGATAGAGACTCTGAGAAGGCTATTGTTATAACGGATACATATACAGAAAAAACCCTATCATTAAGATCCAATTGTTCCATACACTTCTAGTAGCACATTAACAGCTTCTGAAATACTCTCTAGTATAGAAACCACACATTCAGAACAAGACACTGAGTCACAGGAAATTCCAATCTTACAGGAACCAATCGACACTAAGCCCAATCAAATTTTAGTATTCAGCTTGAACATAGATAAACTATCTGTAAAAAACTTATCTAGAGAAAAACAAAGAATCCTAGAAGTACACTTACCTTTAAACCGACCAGATTTAGTGAAACAATTTCTGAAAGAATATATTAGGAATAAAACCAAATACTTCATTTACTTTGAAAATGAAGAACACCGTAAACAATTCAAGTAATTAGTAATCTTCTTATTTAAAAAGGAACTCGTACAATTTTTAATGCACCAAAAGAGTCGTATATGTAGATAATGAGAAAGAACAAAGAGACATAGTCTAGAAATATCATGTCGGAAAAACTTGCCATCGTGGTATTAAAGAAACCCTATTGCATATAAAACGCTCATACTTTTGGCATAATACGGCCCAAATCATAGCCAGTGTCATAAATTCATGTGACACATGTAAAAGTTTGAAATATGATCGGAACCCTATAAAGCCTAAACTCCAATTGACGCAAACTCAAAATAAACCCCTTGAAGAAATTTTCATAGACCTCTTTAAAGTCGAAGGTCACTATTATTTAACAATAATTGATGCTTTAGCAAATTAGGACAGGCCTTTGAAATAGTTAACAGATCGACTCCCGAAGTCATCAGAGCTCTTCTTAAATATTTTTCTTTTTACGGTGTCGCCCACAAAATAAGTTAAGATCCCGGATCTGAGTTTAATAATGCTTTACTTAAAGAATTTCTTTCCTTTTATAAAATAGAACTTCATATTGGCACCCCTAAAAACCCTAACTTTGTGAGAATAATTCAAAGATTCCACTCAACCACCCTGGAAATATATGGCTTAGCAAAGTATGAACACAAATATATATATGTCTTTTCCATAATGACATACGAAATGGTGGCATACAATCATAGAATACACTCTACCACAGGCTTAACACCTTTTTAAGTCTTATTAGGACACACAGACTCACGGCATTCATTCGACGTAGATTTTGAAAAACAGTATTTAATAATATAATATAGAAATTTGAACAGTTAGTTAAACAACATGCAAAGCGTACTAAATACCTCTATAAATATCTAACAGAACAAGTCATACAAAAGAAAGAAAAAATTATTGAAAGCAGAGGAGGAGAAACGGAATTTAAAATAGAACCCGCAGACACTATTTATGCAAAAGGTACTAATAAAAAAAGTAGTAAAGATAAGCCACGTTTTCAAAGGCCCTAGTAACCGATATCATTAGTAGAAACGTTATTCCCGTAAACATTAAAGGACGTGATAGTAAA